AAGATGTTTCCTACAAGCATTTGAGAGTGTTTGGTTGTCGTGCATTTGCACATGTTCCAGATAATGAGAGGTCCAAGATAGATGGTAAGACTAAAGAATGTATTTTTCTTGGTTGCTCACATGATCATTTTGGTTACAGGCTTTGGGATCCAGAAAAGCAGAAGGTGTTTAGAAGCAGAGATATAGTCTTCTTTGAGGATCAAACTTTTGAAGATTTGAAGAAGAAGGCACCAGCCAATACTTCTGTAGAAGGATTAGCAGATTGTGACCCAATTACTCCTCTAGTATATCAGGGTGATGGGGGAGATGTGCAGGAAGATAGTGTAGAGCCTGATATTGATCTACCTGCAGGACATGTTGAGCAAGAAGAAGTAGGAGAGCAAGTTCCAACAGAACCTTAGTTGAGAAGATCTTCTAAACAACGTCAGCCTTCCAGAAGATACTCTACATATGAGTATGTGATGTTTACTGATGTAGTTGAACCAAAGAGTTATCAGGAAGCAGTTGAAAGTGAGTAGAAAGAGAAGTGGTTAGTTGCTATATAGGAAGAGATGGATGCTCTTCAGAAGAACCACACTTATGATTTGGTGCTACTACCAAATGGAATGAATGCCTTGAAGAACAAGTGGGTTTTCAGGTTGAAGACTCAAGAATATTGTTCTCAACCAAAGTACAAAGCTAGATTGGTTGTGAAAGACTTTGGTCAAAAGAAATGTATTGACTTTGAAGAGATTTTTTCTCCTGTTGTTGAAATGTCTTCTATTCGTGTTGCTCTTGGTATTACTGCTAGCCGGGACTTGGAGGTTGAGCAGTTAGATGTGAAGACAACTTTCCTTCATGGGGATTTGGAGGAGGAAATTTATATGGAGCAATCAGAAGGCTTCAAAGTTAAAGGTAAAGAGAACTTTGTTTGTAAATTGAAGAAGAGCTTGTATGGGCTAAAGCAAGCTCCAAGACAATGATACAGAAAGTTTGATTCATTTATGATAGAAAATGGATACAAAAGAATGGCTTCAGATCATTGTGTGTACATCAAATGGTTTGGTGAGGATTTTATTATTCTCTTACTTTATGTTGATGACATGCTTATTCTTAGAAAAGATATGTCTAAAATTGACAGATTGAAGAATGAACTGAGTGAATATTTTGCAATGAAGGACATGGGGCCAACAAAGCAAATACTAGGTATGCAGATTTCCCGTGACAGAAAAAATAAGAAAATTTGGTTGTCACAAGAGAAATACATCGATAAGATATTGGAAAGATTTAGTATGAGCAATGCAAAGCTAGTTAGTTCTCATCTTGCAGGTCACTTCAAGTTGTGCTCAGAACAGAGTCCGTCAAGTGATGAGGAGAAGGAGAAAATGCAAAAGGTTCTTTATGCTTCAATAGTTGGAAGTTTAATGTATGCAATGGTATACACGAGGCCAAACATCACATATGCAGTTGGTGTTACTAGCAGATTTCTTGCAAATCCAGGCAAAGAGCACTAGGCATTAGTGAAGTGGATTTTTAGATACCTTAGAGGGAACTCTAAGGTTTGTTTAAGCTTTGGAGGTGGACCACATGTGTTGATAGGTTACACAGATACATATATGACAAGAGATATAGATATGAGAAAGTCTACTTCAGATTATGTACTTACTTTTGCAAGGGGAGCTATGTCATGGTAATCCAGATTGTAAAGGTACATTGCTCTCTCTACCACAGAAGCAGAATATATTGCTGCTACAGATGTATGCAAAGAAATGTTATGGATGAAAGAATTCTTACAAGAATTGGGGCTGAAACAGAAAAATTATGTGGTGCATTATGACAGCTAGAGTGTCATTCATTTGTGTAAGAACCTAATATTTCATTCCAAGTCAAAGCATATAGATGTCAGATACCACTAGATTCGAAATGTATTTAAAGAGAAGCAGTTGCAGCTTCAGAAAATTCACACAGATGACAACAGAGCAGACATATTGGCAAAAATTTACCAAAAGAAAGACAGGAGATATGCTGATAGTTGGTCAGCATGACTTCACATTGAGGAGTCATGGGATAACCTCCCTTATGGGCTGAAGGGGGAGGTTGTTGGGCTGGCAGCCCATAAATTAAGCCCATAGTGGGCTTGTGCAGCCCACAGCTCACCCCCTCTTAATCTAACCCTAATTAACATTAGGGGGAGTGTGGTGGCTGCGTTTTGGAGGCAGAAAAATGTATAAATAGGGTAGCAATGTGGGAGAAAAAATATAACAACGGGATTCTAAAGAAAAGGAGGACAACAAGGTAGAAAAGGAAGAGAAAGAAAGGGAAGAAGACAAGGACAACGCAGAGAGGCTGTTCTCAATCATCTAGGAGTGTTCTCATCTCAAGTTAGATCAAATCTACAGTAGACTCTTGCTGTGATTACTTGGGGAGGTTTTAGATATTGTAGGCAGTGACGTGATCCTTGTATCCCAGTTATTCTCTTGTGATTGTTGCTAGGGTTTAGGACAAGAGATTGAGATTTGTATATTCATTATTCTCATAGTGGATTATCTCTAGTTTGCCTCGTGGTTTTTACCCTTCATATTGGAGGGGTTTTCCACGTATATCTTGGTGTTTTATTTGATTGTGATTTCATTTAATTTCGTTGAATATCATGACCTTCTAGTATTTATTCATATACAAAGATTATTCATGTTTATACCCGAATGCTTTTTACTCAGGGCTTTTTACTCAGGGCAAGCTTTGCTGATTTGCCAGGTCCGATTCATTATTCTATTTGATTGCCATGGCTCACGCCTCCTTCCATGTCCCTTCTCTTTTACAAAGTTACACTAGTGTGGATCTCGCCTCGTCTCTCGGTTCTCTTCTTGAGCAACAGGTAGTTAGTTGCATAGGCTGTTGTTTCTTTAATATTTCCTAGTTTTTTTTGAGACCTCGTTCCATTTTCCCACCCCTCCTCGTTAGACTCCCCACTGTTTCTAGAATCTATAGCGAATTGCCAGCACAAGGATGATACCATAAATCAGAGAAATAAACCTTCCAACCCAAACACAATTTATATATGCACCCCTTAACTGGAAACAATTTTACTTCCTTTTTTATCTTTCACTAAATGGAAGCGTACAATTGAGTATCGAACAACACATCCAACATCCCATGCAAAAGAAACTAAAGAAACCTGATGTAAAAAATCTGATCACGCGCAATCCAAAGTGCGATTGTATACGGTGGGGGGGCGAAGGAGTTACAAGCACTTTGAAATCATCAAATTCCTGCAATAGTGTATGCGTCCTGATCCTGATCCTGAGTCCAGCATAGAACAAAAAGGATACAAAGGAATGCAAGATCAACACCTTGAGGACATCAACAGAAAGTTCCATCAGTTGCAGCCTCCTTAAAGACTCCGACAAGACAGCATCAGACTGCGAAGAAGCATCAGCAAGCTCAAGCTTAATGGTACTCGACGACCAATTTACATTCTCTGGATCATAATGCAACATCAAATCGATGAAAAACCACACAAATTACCTCATCATGTTGGTTTCCGAGAATATCTTTGATCCTCATGACCTCTCCAACGATCTGGCCCTCCTCTTCGATATCCTCCGTGAGTGCCTCCGCCTCGTCATTCGTCTAGTTGCTCACCGCCCCGTTCAAGGACTCGGGCCCGTCGGTACCGCTGTCCGCCTTGCTCTCCTTCTCTCCGAGCCTCCTCATGCTGCCGTCCCCCTCGGCCCCTCTCAGCTCGACGCGGTCAGAGCCGAAGCACCGCGGCAGCAGCGCGGCGAAGAGCTTCTCCACGATCTGATCCCACCAGGATCGCTTGCTGGATGACCTCGAAGATGTCGGAGTTGGCGCTTCGGAAGAACTTCCTCCAGTAATCGACCCACCCGGACGAGCTCGCCATGGCGACGACGGCGAAGAACGACCCGGCGTATACGAGGCCAAATCCGTCTCACCAGAGCGGTCCGCGTTAGAAATCGACTCCAAGAACGAATCTTGGCCGCCGGCTCCGAGACCGGTGACCGAAAAAACTAATGGGGCACAAATCTTTTCGCCGATCAACGGCGGTTCCGATGGGCACAACCGAGACCACGCGAAAAAGACAACGGAAAGATCCGACCTTTCCGACAATCCACATACAGTGCCAATCAATCCGACCCTCCAGAACTCAAAATTAGAGATTAGGGTAATGACAACCGGTCCGATTTGTTCCCGTACCAAAGGAGACCAGAACCCGATTTGTTCCCGGCGGCGAGCGGTGCAGGAGAGACGGCGGTCGAGCGGTGCAGGAGCGGCGGCGGCGAGTGGTGCAGGAGCGGCGGCGGTCGAGCGGGGTAGGTTGGAAAGAGGAGAACAAAAGAAATGCTTCGGCGAGAAAAAAAAAATATATTTAATAATTTTAAAAATAAAATTACGTTTTTATCCTCTTCTCTTTTTTTTACATGATTTTTTCCGTCAATAAAAAAATTTCAATATTATTTTTTAATTACAAGAATCGAAATACTAATGATAATTAACTATATGAAATTATCTATAATTACCTCTTAACTCTTCGATGGATGTTTGTGCTGCAGGTAAAAACACAACATTCTGCAGGCGTATGATGCCATGTATGGCAACAGAATTTATTTGTGTAATGCTTAATGTATATTTTGTGTCGAGAAAAGAGTCCACTGCATATATGCACACGTGTGTGTATATCAGAATTTTTAATGCCATGATACTGGTATCGATACGTGTATAAATCAGACGCTACACGATATATGCAGATGCTTGGGTTGACTAACATGATGGATGGATAACTCGACAACGACGCCCGTCCGATTCGACGTTGCTAAAGATGGACTCCGCAAAAGCATGCTTACTTGTCATCCGTCCATTTCTGCGTCCATTTGTCTTCTCGCCACAGAACAAGGAGAGCCGCTCGCGACCAACACTGCTCCTCCCTCTATAACTGTCAACCAAACCCCCTTCCCCTCAACCCTCCATTTCATTCCCTTATTAGCAAGCAGCAGCAGCAGCAGCAGCAGCAGCAGCCCTGGAGGCGGTGGCGTTCCCCCTCTCCACCTGCCCGATATGGAGGCCTCTGCCCCCTCCCTCCTCCTCCTCCTCCTCTTCCTCCTCCTCTTTGCGTCTTCTCTCTCGCGCCCTTCTTCGGCCCTCTCTTCTGACGCCGGAGCCGCCTCCACCGCGCGCCGCCAGCTCCTGGCCCTCATCGAGAATGGAATCCTCCCCGACGACTTCGAGTTCCACATCGAGATCGGCGTCCGCATCGCCAATCCGCGCCTCCGCCGCGCCTACATCGCCCTCCGAGCCTGGAGGAGCGCCATCTACTCCGATCCTTTCAACTACACCGGCAACTGGCAGGGCCCCGACGTGTGCGCCTACAACGGCGTCTTCTGCTCCCCAGCCCCCGACGAGCCTTCGTTCAACGTCGTCGCTGGCGTCGACCTTAACGGCGCCGATATTGCCGGCCACCTCCCCCCGGAGCTTGGCCTCCTGACCGACGCTGCGCTCTTCCACATCAACTCCAACCGCTTCTGTGGCACCATCCCCAAGAGCTTCTCCCGCCTCGTCATCCTCCGCGAGCTCGACGCCAGCAACAACCGCTTCGTCGGCCCTTTCCCGCGCGTCGTTCTTGGCCTCCCCTCCCTCACATACCTCGACCTTCGGTTCAATGACTTCGAGGGTGCTCTGCCACCGGAGCTCTTCGACAAGGAGCTCGACGCCATTTTCTTGAACGACAACCGCTTCAGCTCTGGCATCCCTGACAACTTCGGCAACTCCAAGGCCTCCGTCGTCGTGCTCGCCAACAACAAGCTCGGCGGGTGCATTCCGGCCAGCGTCGGAAACATGGGAGCCACCCTCAACGAGCTCATCCTTCTGAACAATGGGCTCGTGGGGTGCTTGCCGCCGGAGATGGGGATGTTGGGCAACGCGACGGTGGTGGACGCTAGCTGGAACTCTCTCACCGGCGAGCTCTCTAAGAGCTTCCAGGGGCTGAGCAAGGTGGAGCAGTTGGATCTGTCGCATAACGTCCTCATGGGTGTGCTTCCGGGGAGGCTCTGCCAATTACCGAGCCTCGCCAACCTCACGGTCTCGTACAACTTCTTCACAGGCGAGGCCGAGGAGTGCGTGCCGTCATCAACGAAGTTGGAGCTGGTGGTCGATGACAGGAGCAATTGCCTCGCGAAGAGACCGAGACAGAAGTCGAACAGGTTGTGTGCGCCGGTGGTGAGCCGCCCTGTCGATTGTGGCCGCTTCAAATGTGGATCTTCTCCGAACAAACCCACTTCGTCTCCTGCGAAACCATCTCCGAGGCAGAAGACAACATCGCCGCCGCCGAAGTCGAAGCCACCTGTTCGTTCACCACCTCCGTTGGTCCACTCACTTCCACCGCCAACTCCAGTCTCCTCGCCGCCACCGCCGCAACAGAAAAAATCTCCCGCCAGACCAGTGCATTCATCACCACCACCACCATCGTCCTCGGAGTCACCGGTTAAGCGAGTTCGCTCCCCGCCACCCCCAGTCAAGACTCCAAAGTCGTCGCCACCACCAACGCATTCACCACCTCCTTCAGTTCGCTCACCATCTCCAAGTTCCTCACCACCACCTCCTCCAGTTCACTCATCACCCCATCCGAATTCCTCACGGCCACCATCACCATCACCGCCTGTCTATTCACCACCTCCACCGATCCATTCACCACTACCTCCGCTGATTCATTCACCACCGCCACCAACCCATTCAGCACCTCCACCATCCCAGCACTCTTCACTACCTCCGGTTTCCTCACCACCATCTCCAGTCCATTCACCACCACCATCACCTCCAGCTGCATCACCTCCGTCACCACCAGTGCACTCATCACCTCCGCCACCACCAGCGCACTCACCACCACCACCAACTGCATCACTTCCGCCACCACCAGTACACTCTCCATCGCCACCACTAGCGCACTCACCACCGCCGCCACCGGCGCGCTCACCATCGCCTCTGCCACCACTAATGCACTCACCACCACCACCAACTGCATCGCCTCCGCCACCGGCAGCGCACTCACCACCACCACCGACAATTGCATCCGCCTACCGCCACCA